GCTGCGGTGCCATTCAGACAAGGGGCAACTTTCCGTTGCCATGCAGCTCTCTTCGAGCAAGGGGGCAATTTTCGTCCAGATCCGAGGTTGTACGCCTCAAGAGTAAGTTCCGCGCTTGTTAAGCATCTGCCGTTTGGAAAAATAGTTTTTTACTGAGCGTGGGGGTCCTACTCAGGAAAGGACATCTGAAACTGTTAGAGCAACGGCCTCTACCCGATCCTCTCCCTCCAAAACATGACCCGACTAAGTACTGTGCTTTCCATCAACAGACCGGTCATGACACCGACAGTTGCGTCCGTCTTCGCCACGAGATACAAAATTTGATTGACAGCGGGGTCATCCCCGCACCAGGTCCTGCAAAGTCTATCGGCACTTGATCAGTGAACTTGTAGGGGATAATGTGATGTGATCGAGGGATGAACCACCTGCGGGCGACACTTAGTTTACTCCAGATGTGGCGTATGGCACGCACTGTTTTGAGCATTTATGAATGCTAGTTTTGTACATTCTGACTTGGGTATTGGGTCAGTCTTGTTGTGTTGTTTTGAGTCTGCCTCTTTGTTTTAAGTCAGTCCTTTCATACTGAGTCAGTCGGGTCTGTCTTATTGTATCGAGTCAGTCCTGTTTTGTTAGAGTCAGGTGATTTCGGGGGTGTTACCTTAGATATCACTTGCTTGTTTTGCGTTTGTCCTTTTGCTTTCTTTTGAGTCTGTTTCTGCCTTGGAACCAGTTATGCCAACAGATTTGAATGGAACAGCAGTGATTTTCACACTCTTGTGTTTGCTTCTGTCGTGTGCCAGTTGTGCCAGAAGTTTGAATGAAATGACAGTGTTCTTCGCCTGCCTTTTCTGTACCTTTGAAGTCATTGTAATGACCTAAGTTTTTCAAAACTTTTTTTTGAAACATTGTGATAAAAATGAAGAGGAAGGAATTCCTCGGGTTTTGCAAAACTTGATCAATTGAGAGAAAGAGAGGCATGTTAAGCCCTTAATGATCGAGATCATGCTTGTTAGTGTGAGTACTGAGAAGGATCCTGGCTTGATCCAGATTGGTCCTACACTGTCTTCAGCGCGAGCGATTGTCGCTTTCTTAAAAGATCTCAAAAACTGTTTTGCGCGGTCCTGCGAAGACTTGTGTGGAATCGCTCTTGAGATTGTGCAGTTTAGGATCGCTCTTAGCCTCGAGACTTGAGCCCTTGCTTTTAAACCTTGACCTTGGATTCAGAGTGTTCAATGGTCAACTGCGATATGAGGCCTGTGTGGCCAGATTTGAAACAGCCCTCGAACAAGAGGCACCAAAGTCAGATCAAGAAGATCAGACCTCATCAGAAGAAGCTTGCGAAGCCAGAACAGAAACACCCCTCGAACTAGGGGCAAACTCTAACAAATCTTACTTGCAGCATTAAACCTATGATATTGACATTGTGGGAGCAATTCGAGCCGAACAAGGGAACTGCAATTTCCAACATGCCAAGTCAATTTCCAATTGTGATTGGAATAAGATTAAAAGCAACAAACTATAATGCATAAAATTATACATGTTCATGTTATATAAGGACAAACAACAATGCATACAATTATACTCAAAATAAAGAATGAGAGCAAGGAGCTTTTACATCAAACTGAAATTTCAAAATAGTTAAATTTGCATTAAATTTGCAGTATAAGGCTTGACATCATTGTTCTTTTTCCATTAAATAAAAATGCTCTCAAATATGCCCTGCCTTAAGATAACCAATTGGGGCTTTTCTTTGAGCACCAACAAGGCAATAATCCAATCTTAAAGATGATATAGAAAGAAGAAAGCAAATGAAATTAAAAACTCACAGTGCATCCACTGCTTATCAAAGCCTTGACAAAAACATCATTTGACAGTACATCCAATTTCTTCTGTTCTTCACCCTGAAAAATGAAACAGATGTGATCTATCGTAGTCATAGATAGATAAAATTGCAATGAAAACACAGAAATGCAAGAAAATGTAAAATTAGCATATTACTGAACAACTTTTGAAAAAAGAAAAACAAAAAACCCACCTGAGTATTTGTCTGTCCTGCAAGTCCAATGAGTTTTGCAAGACCTGCCTGCAAAATTGGTGATTATTGGAAGGCCAAGAAAAAACCCACCTTTAACATTAATTGGTTTTAGGTGAGGTGGTGGAACTCAATCCAACAGGTGTTATCAAAGCAACGTTGTCATGGGTTTAAGTTGCAGAGCATCATTGTGAGGGAACAATTGTTGGGTACACAATGTTGCTCCTACAATCGCTCGTGTCATGGAGTTGCCACAAGACAAATCACAATGGAGTCAAGTTTATTTTGCCTCAATATATGTATATTCTATTGTATGAAGCACACAACTTGGCGTGTAATTCCATAAGATAATTTTGATTTCTAAAAATAACCACAATAATACTAAATGTTCTCCAAATATTTAGCATTCCTAACACTGTTGTATTCAGTTGCGCACTACTCTCTCCACTTTCACCCATGACCTTCCAGGGCAATTTCAATTGCACACGTTAGTGTGCGCAAGGCTTCTAGTATATATATACACGAAAAATTTATGATATAGTTGGCAAAAGAAAGGAATTAAATGAAAAAGAGGAGAGGGAGAGGGAGAGGGACCTTGGTAACAGCATTGCAGACAAATTTGCAGCCAAGAACAATGTGACTGAGCAAGATTGTGAAGTCGCCGTGAGCTTCAGGGTGCTTCGACTGCTCATTAAGAACATGTCTAGTAATCGTCATTAGGTCTGTCCTCTGTGCTTCGCCTGTGTGATCCATTAATCATGCTTCATTACTGCATCTACGAACAGGTTCCAAAGAAAGGAAAGATCTATTCAACAAATGAAGGAAATGCCCAGTATTGGGATGAACCAACCACAAAGTAAATGTAGCTAAATTTGGCAATTGTCATCTTTCTATTACCTTTAAAAGGCTAATAAATTTTCTTATATTCATTTAATTTCAGGTATGTTGAAAATAGCAAGTTCCCTAAGGATGGTTCATCACCAAAGTCCCTAAGATACATTGGAAGGTATACAGTTTTTTGGCATTACAAGTTTTATCACCATGTCAGCATGTCAATCTTGTAGAAGAGTGCCTCAAAATCTAAACGTTTTGAAATTAATTGCATGGAGACAAATAATATGGAATTCAATGTCAGCAACATGTAATAGAAAAGTTAATTGCAACTGAAACTGATATACAGATAGAAAGGATTCCATATATCAAGGTAAAAGTAGCTGTTACTTGCAAAGTAAATTGTTGAACATCATTTAGCAACAATGAACATTAAATGTAAATTCAGATAAGAATCTAGGCTCTATAATTGTTGGATAACCTTAGCAGGAATATATATATATATATATTGGAGACCTCCTAAGCCAGTGAGATCATCTGAGCCTGTGCAAGGAAGACGTATAAAAAGCGGGAAGAGGCATTCCGCTGGAGATAAAAGACTCAAAAGACTTGGTGGATGGCCAAAAAACTTGTTGCAAATTTTATCACCCAAAGTGACACTATCTGATTGCTTATCTGACAGGGATATTAAAAAAACGAGGAGAGATTTCAGACAACTCATAAAACAAAAACAGGTCTTCTTGGACTGTACCTACAAGGGAAAAGAAAGAAAACGCTACTTTTTTTAAAAACCACTAATAGCATTGGAAAGCTAAAAAAATTTCTTTTTTATCAGTTTAATACCTTTCTAACTACAACAAAAGCATATGCTAGCCCTTGAGCAATTCTAACTTCAATCTTGCACACAACTTGGAATAAAAACTTAGCATTGGCTAAGTGCAACTATAGTTGCATCTATGATATTGCAACAATAAACCACAGGTTGTCAGGCTATGGTAACATGACCCTACATCATGAATGATATGCCATTCAGTTTTTTTAAGGCTGCAAAGGATGGTGTGGCCACAAGCCTCTTGCTTTGCTCAGTTTGCTTTCTTAATATTGAAGCTTTTCTTCTTTATCTTCATTTCAATATACTAAAACTTGTAGTAGCTTTTCTTCTCTAGTTTGCTTTCTTCTTGCTTTGTGGTAGGTGTCCATTTTTTAAGACTTGTTATATCCATAGCTTACCCAATACACCAACAGCATATGAAGCAAGCCCTCTATCACATAAAAGAAAAAAATGTAATTTAGAAGTCAATGAAAGAAGTGATGGAGATAAAAAGGTGAATGGATAAATCATGTTCTTAAAAATAATAAATAAATAAAAAACTATAATGTGAGACGATTTAAGTTCATGTAAGCAAGATCTAAAGCCAATGAATCACTTTTATTAATAATAGGTTCATTTAACTGGAAACAAAAAATCAGGAACTAAGCCAACCGTGGTTCAAATTATATAAGATAAACATAATCTTGGCCATTTATGTCCAAACAATATATTTATTCTGTCAAAAAAAATCACTTAAGTTATAACTTATGTGGCTCATGAGGTTAGCATATATGCAAAAGTGGATAACCAGTAAATCATATAAATAATAATTGGACGCAAGACATTTGATAATATAAGTTTTCCAAGAATAACGTGCAAACAAAAGGCAATATGCTGAGATATTTCTCCAAACTAAAAATCTAACATGTTCAGTATATGAAGCACCATTGTTATGTGGGGTCCATTTAAATAATTCTAAGAACATTGCAAAGACTTAAACATCGGGGTATAAAGCAATTTTAAGCAGATAAATAAATCAAATATAATTCTAAGATGCAAGATACGTTATAAATTAAGTAGCCTTTGTAAAGCTAACGCGCTACCAGCAGGTAATACGCTGAATATAACAGTCTTATTTCTCCATTCAACAATCTCTGCAGTCACCTTGTCATGCATGCATGTCGAACACTGAAATCATATTTATCTCTTTGTTTACATAGCTACTACATGGAATCTTACCCATAGTTTGCATTATTTCCTGTTGTTCCTAGACCCATTTCATGCATATTTGCCTTTCCAACAAAAATAACACCACAGCTACGTAACCTTGATACAGAAACTGCATCTTTTTTAATAGGGCGCACCTCATGAAACCACGTCGTTGCACCTGTTTGTCATAGAATACTGAGCTACATTTGTAAATTGAGTAAGAAAACTTCATGCAAATGAAAATTCAATTATATTTTACCCTTTGATGGATGAGGATAGCAGTCTATATCATCCTTGATAGCCATGAAAATCCCATCCAAGATTGACAGTGGGTGTCCTGCACAACCCACAACCATTGGGGAATTAACAACTAAATTCTAGCTCAGAAAACTTCCACACTCAAGAGCGGACAGTCAGATGTAAAATACACATTTAGTAACAGATCTGCTACTAACAATAGCAGATGTTCACCGTACTCTGCTTTATGGAGGAATCTTCTTGTACCCGGCTGACAAGAAAAGCCCAAATGGGAAGTTGCGGTATGCCACCTTTAAGATTAACCAACTTGTTTTTGTTTCCATTTTTCAAAATTTTTTAAAACAAAAAACAGAAAAACAGAAGACATTACCAAATAGGCCCTGTTTCCACATGAGAAGTTAGGTTTTTGGTAGGATAAATTAGATTTTTACCGTCTCCGTAAACACAATTCTTTCAAGTGATCCTTTTGAGAAGGCAGTACACCTTGAATTGCGGCAAGCCTGCAAGAATGTTCAGTTATTATCTGATATGTTGCTACATAATGTCTTGAAAGCATTTAAATTAGCCTACATGTTTTTCTTAGGCTTCAAAAAATGGAGAAAAACTCCCTACTTAAGCACTCAAAAACTACGTAGGCATAGAAAACTGTTTATGTCAATGTGTTGAGTGTGAGTATTTTCTGAGACAAGTCAAGTAGCTAAGCTGTCCAAATTCTGAAAGCCAGATAGGAATGGAGTGATCTGATTTAGGAAAGTTCAAAATCAGGTGCAGTATTAACATCCCTAAATTTGGGACAATAATAATAAATGATCATGCAACATGATGATATTAACCAAAGTAAAAGAATTCAAGTATTGGCAACAGTTTGGCAATTTTATTTAATCTGGGATAAATTAAACAGATTCAACAATCCATGGGCCATTGGGCCATGTTCATGACTCGGTACAATTTAAGAAATACTTGAATGAATGAATGCTGAGATTTATTGTGTGATACGTCAACAAAGTTCAGTAAGTTTTGCGGATTTACAGGATTGATGGGTGAAACCAGAAAAAATAAAAAAAAAAACAAAAAAAGCAATGTGCCAACAAACCAAATTGTTCTCAACGATTTATCAAGAGGGCTACTAAATGGCCCCATCATATTAATTTGAAACCCCCACTTCTTTGGAACCCCATGACCAAAATTGATCCCCACCATTTTTTCCGAGAACACCCACCATAATCCCAATCTTACCCTTCTTTCTTAGACCTCCACCCCTACCATGTCCGTCCTCTGACAGCCTCATTTCCATAAGCCTCTCCCTGCCACTTCTCCACCTCCGACAGTCGCTTCCCAGCTACCCCCCTCTCTAAATGCCTCTACAATATTTGTTGAATTTATTGGGATGGTTGTTTAGCAGTATCTATATCTAAATCTTACTGATGCAACACTACAATGGTAAGCCTGACAAACCAAGACAGTGCTATTGTACTCTTATATATGACTCGACCTGAATGTGTGGAAAATCATAAAGCATGGAAAGAAGAGATAAATTCCCCAATGATTGAATGCTATGGGGATGGAATTTACTGAACTAATGTGATCAAAAACTCAAAATGTACATATTCAATTCCACGAGACAACCAAATCAAACACCAGTTTCGAGCTAGAGAGAAACTACAGCCAAACTAATAGCATGTAAAAATGCAGTCAAACGAAAGGACAATTTGTCGACATGAACAAACCGAGAAGAGAGAGAGAGAGAGTACCGATTAAAGTTCATAAACAAAGTAGACTATTCGCCGCCATCGGAGCTTGAAATACGAGTAATCGAGGGGTCAGAGTTCAGATCTGAGCTTCTGGAAATCACTGAATCTCTGTAAATGAGATGGTGGAGCTCGCTACCTCGCCTGTGCAGCTTCAAAATCGCTTCGATGTAGCTTCGATCCGAATCTTCGATGGAGATTCGAAATCGCTTTGATCTGAATCTTTGATGGAGCTCAAAATCGCTTCGATCTGAATCTTCGATGGAGCTCGAAATCGCTTCAATCTGAGTCTTGGAAATCACTGAGAGAGAGAGATGTGTGGCTTCAATCTTCAAAATGTTGAGAGATGTGTGGCTTCAATCTTCGATCTGAATTTATAGAACTAACCATTTTGAAGATGGTTTGTAAGAATACGCTTCGATCTGAATGTTGAGAGAGATAGATCTGAATCTTCGTTTTGTGTAATATGCTGTAATATGCTTAGAGAGGGTTCCGATTCAAAATTAAGTTTCACAAAACGAGGCGCGTGCGGCTACCGCATTTGGAGGCGTTTCCTATTATAAAACGGTGCCGTTTTGTGTAATAGAATATGCGGCGTTTATAAAACGCCGTTAAATGTTAATAACAGTGACGTTTAAAAAAACGTCGTTAAAAAAACGCCACCATAACCCCTTTTCCTGTAGTGAATTAGTGAAATATATTAGTGCGGTCATGTGACATAACGGATTGGAGTCGCTGTTGTACAGAACACAACATTTGCAGCGAATTGGGTACATTTAGAGTTTATTTCGATAATATGAATCATTCATATTTTAAGGAATATTGAGTAAAATATGTTTATAAAAATTAAATTAATCGGATATCAATAGTCTTTTTATCCAAATATATTTGTATCTTAAAAAAAATGAATGTTAAATGTGCTTTAAAGTATAAAACTAATATAAATGCAATTAGATGAAAGGGTTATGGATGTTAGACCAACTTGATTTTTGCAGGTCTATTATATTCAATATATTCTAAAATATGAACGATTCAAATTATCAAAATAAGCTCAATCCACTACACAACAGTTGTTATTGTGCTTCCACACAACAATCACTCCAATTCCATGAAGGTAACGGGACTATTTGTTACAACTTTTGGAGGGTAATTATAACTTATTTTGATTTGAAAGTTTGTACCAAACTGTTTGGTGCAGTTTTTACTTATAGTTTATGTTGGTGATACTTACAAATAAAACATCAGAAAATACACAAAATAAAAGTTACAACAATTAATGTAAGGGTTGAGGCGCGGGAAATTCGCTCTCTTTAAGGAGATTCAAGCCCTCTGCGGTTAGGCAAAGTCTCACACCGGTGCAACAGAAAAACCTTGACTTGTCCCCCCCAGGATACAACAGCCCGACTAAGTCGTATGGTTCACCAATACTGCATAATTGGTTGAACCAAAAGTTTTATCACACACACCCTTCTTTATTTGCCTGATAATCTCACATTAGACATAACAAAGCAACCCAAAACTTCTTCACCTCTCGTGTCCCTCTAGATAGGACCTAAGCTCAATTATATATAGAAATCAAAACTTAATAGGCAAGGTTCAAGGTGGATAAGGAACGGATGGACTTGAAAGGATAAGCATGGTTGGAAGACTTAGACTTGAAAGTCTTAGCGAAGACTTGATGATGACTAGATGGATAAGTTTTGGTGGACAAAGACCAAGACTTGGAAACTTAGAAGGAAAGAAAAGAAAAACCAACAATAACACATTAACACATTATAATATTAAAATACCTGCTAACAGTTTATTAGATAGAAATAGCATAAATAAGTTGAAAAAAATTGATTATTTGAAAGCTATGATAGGGATGTTTTTAACTTCTGTTTTCTGATTATCAACTTTTAATTTAAAAAAAATTCCACTAAGCAGGGCCAACATGGCAGATTGTGTTCGGATATGTGAAGTCAATGCAAAATATTTGGAAAATCACTAATCAATTAGAAAACCTCAAATGGTGATATTGGGGGATTACAAAGTGGAAGACTTAATTAACTTTTTTATTAATTAATTATGTAAATAATGTCGTCTTATCGTTAGATCATATATATTTCCTAAATGTAATAACTATAGTATTACTCAAAGGAAAATAATTTGTAAACATAATTTTAAGTTAATTGGATATTTAGTTTTCCAAGTATGAGATTTGCATCATTTTGGTCCTTAATATTTAAATTTGTATTAATTTGATTATCAATATATAACATTATTTCAATTTGGTTCTTAATATTTAAATTAGGTCAATCTGATCTCTAATATACAAATGATATTTTAATTTAGTCTCTTAATAATTAAAAAAATTATATTAAAATTATGAGTGAAATTTTGATTTGAAAAAGGCAGACAAGAAACAACATTATTTTGCACGATATCTATATAAATTTATGTTTGTTTGTTGTTTCTCTTACACAAATCGTTTACTCACTATCACTCTTGTTTCCATATCTAAGCCATCTTCATGGAGAAAACTTGGTTCCTCTATTTAACTGCAGTGTCCTTTGCACACTGTTTCTTCGCCTGCTTGGCTATGAATGGTCCCAACTCCACCACTGATCAATCTGCTCTTTTAGCCTTCAAATCCCATATCACTTTCAACCATTCTCATCACATATTGGCAAATAACTGGACCTCTGCCACCTCAGTCTGTGACTGGATTGGTGTCTATTGCGGCAAGCGCCACCGCAGAGTGACAGCCTTGAATCTCGCAAACATGGGTCTGGGAGGCACCATCCCACCCCATATTGGAAACCTCTCATTTCTATCCTACTTCAACATCACCAGCAACACTTTCCATGGTCATCTTCCCGATGAGTTGGCTCGATTGCGTCGCCTAAATGCAGTCGACTTTGGTGATAACAACTTCGGTGGAGGTGTTCCGTCATGGTTTGGAAACTTACCCAAGCTTCAATACTTGCGTCTCGCAAACAACAGTTTCACTGGTTCAGTTCCACCTTCCACTGGCAATATATCAACATTAGAGTCTCTCAATTTGAGGTTCAATTTTCTAGAGGGAAGAGTTCCTGAAGAGATCGGTCATCTTTCTAAACTGAAGACGTTACGCATGGGATATAATAATTTGTTGGGGTCTATACCGCCAACCATCTTCAACATCTCATCACTTGAATTGATTGATTTCACATATAGTATGATGTCTGGTAGTCTTCCGCAGGATATGTGTGTTTTTCATCCTAAACTTGAAATTCTCCGTCTTTCCGGGAATGAGTTTGATGGCCAAATTCCATCAACTCTAGGTGAATGCAGAGAGCTCCAAATCATATCATTGTCTTCCAATAAATTCAGTGGTTTCATCCCAAAGGCAATTGGGAATTTGACTTTGCTTCAGATTTTATATCTTGGTGATAACAATTTTGAAGGTATGATTCATTCTCACTTGTTATTGTTATTCAGTTTGGTTTGCGTTTGATATATACTCAAAATAAGAAGATTTGGGAAATTTCATAATATAAATCTTTTTTTTCTCTCTGTTTTTTTGGTGTATACCATATTCACAATCATGACCTTAGTTTTATTATGGTATTGGTTATATTTTAGTTATAATTTATTATGGTATTAATTATAATTTTATTTTGTTAATGACCAAAGAGATTTTAATTATGTCGCACGTGATATTTGATTATAATACTTACTCATGACTTGATTATAACTTATTGTAATATATTAGTTATGATGTATTATCGTTATTATTTTAGTTACGATGGATAAAATCTTTAGTTATGTCTGATTTGATTATCAGCTATTGCATTTTTTTTGAAAATAATAATAATTGTTGAATGATTAGGGGTGAAACTATAAAGTTAGGGAAGGGACCCCTCCAAATTTTTGAAAATTATTTGTTACCCCTTACATTTTATCAATATTCATAACATGAATATTTATAATAAAGTTTTGACTATTTATTATCCCTTATGTTAGTTAATACTATCAATATAAGTAGCACATATCACTTCATTTGTTAATTTTAAAATTCAAATGATTTGTCATCTTTTTAATTAGTATGTTTTATTAACTAATAAAATGCTTAAAACAATAATTTAATTGATTATATTCTGAGATCTACTTAATAATTCAAAACTTTCAATTATAAAAAAAAATAATAAATAAAAAAGACTTGTTAGATTTTTTTTTTCCCTTCATGAAATACTTCTCCCCAAATGCTTATTATATGCTAAGAATTAGTTAATAATTCAAAAAGTTTATGTATTGAACCACCAACCTCTTCATTTCATTGCAAGTATCTAAGTGTTGCTTCAATAGCTTTAGTTTGAAAAATAGCAAGTGGGCGGGAAAGCTTTGGTGCTTGGTGTTGGTTTTTGATTTGGCTTGGTTTTTGTGGGCAGATTTTGTGGGGTTTCTTGCATTTTATTTTTTAGTTAAGCCCTTCTTAACTTTTTTTTTTGTTTTTCGTATAAAAAAAAATCGTGAGGCCGAGGGGTTGGTTGTATGGATGCGAGTAGCAGTAATAGGGGTAATTTGTACTTTTCGAATCTCTCTCGATGCATGCCATCTTCCAGTACTTTTAATTTCATGTTGTTAATGAAATTTTTACTTTGCCGATCAAAAAAAAAAAAAAAACAATGAAAAAACCTACTTCTATTACATCGCTTATCTAAAATAGGGTAATTTTAAATGCACCCCAAAAATTAGGTTAGACACCCCATTATTTGGAACACCCCAATTTAAAATTTAAATATCTATATAATAAAGTAGGATGATTTTTGAATTTGTCGTATATACATTTGTCCTACTAGGATATTTGAACGGATTACGTCTATTCAAATTATAAAACAACTAAGATATATTGTTCAAAAAATATCCTACATGTATATTTTCTATTTTTCCGTTTCTCTCTCTTATTTTTTCCTTTTCTCACCCATCCTACCATGATCCTATGATCTCACATTCCTCTCTCTTTTCTTTTTATTTTTTTTTTATTTTCTCTCATTTTTATTTTTCTCTGTATTTGTTTATTTGTTTATTTTCTCCTTTTTGTTCACTTATTTTTATTCATATTATATAGAAAAGTCTGTGATCCTAGAATTAGGAGCCAGATTTTGCTGTGTGTAGTGGAGATTAAATTAATGAATTTTATAGTCCACAAATTAAATGAATTTGAACAATTAATTATTATTTTTTAATATATTGAATACCTGATAGATTTCATAAATTTAAACTTTATATGAATCTTCAACATATATTTTAATAAAGCAGGATGGTTTTTGAATCTTCAACATATTTTTGTCCTATTAGGACATTTGGATGACTCAGATCTGTTCAAATTATAAAACAATAGCTGAGATATATTTTCCTAAAAAATATCCTACATATACATTTTATACCTTCCCGCTTCTCTCTCTCGCTTACTTTTTTTTCTTTTCTCACACATCCTTCCATGATCCCATGATCCCACATTCCTCTCTCTTTTCTTTTTATTTTTTTATTTTCTCCTTTTTGTTCAATATATTTTACATATATTTCTATATGTATGTATGCCCATAATATACTAGGACATTATGAGCATACATACAATTTTCATATAAGCAAAAGGAATATTATATGTATACCCGTGGAAATTGTATGTATGCCAGACATATCTATCTATCTAGCTGTATATTATATAAGTAAAAGCGAGTTTTCGTGAGGTGTTTGGTGAGAACTCCAAAATTTTATAATAAATTTGTGATTTTATCAAATTAAAAAATAAATTTAAATAGTGTTGGAATTATAATTATATTCTAATCCTAACATTATTTACACTGTGCCTTTAGGCTCGGGCATACGCTAGTTTATTTATATGTTAGTTTATTTATATGTTTAGACACCCCAAATAATACCTATTATAACCCTTAAAATAAAAAAATAAAAATACTTCAGAAATTCTACCTTTTACCCCTCAAGTCTAATACCTACTATATGTTCGGAAACTTAATTCCGAAACTATGAAATTTATTCGGATATTTAGTGCCGAACAAATGAAATATGTTCGAATACTCAGTTTTGAAAAATAGGAAATTGGTTGCACCATTTTCATCTGGATAGTCAGTGCTGAACAAATTATATATATATATATATATTCGAACCTATAAAATTTCTTCGGATGCTCAATGCCGAACATAATACCGGATAGTTTTTTTTTTTTGTTCGAAATTGGAGTGTGAAAAGGTTAGAAAATTAAATATTCAAAAAAACAGAGCTGAACATAGATAATTTGTTCGAATATAAAATATTTAACAATGACCATTATTTTGGAAACATGTTGCTGAATATATGAATTTTGTTTAGAAATAAGTTTCCGAATAAATATAATTTGTTCAGTACTAAATTTCCGAATCAATTCTGTAAACCAAACAACAAAAAATGATAACTATCAAATCAAAACTTACTTTATCTATAGAAAATTGATTGAAAACATTTTCATTATTGTCTATTGTTGATTTCAATGTGAAATAGAATGCAAGAATGATGGATTCAAGCAAATAGAGTTAGGTATGAAGATCCAAAGTGAAGAGAGTAAGAAGAGAAGAGAGAGAAAAAAAATTTATTATAGGACTGATAATGAATAGGGTGTCTAAAACACTTTGATTTACACTTTTTTCAATATCAAGTACTTTTTGATCATTTTAAATAAGGGGAAAGGATTCTCTCCAGTTCACTTTGTGGACTAAACGATACTACTGGGTTCATGGGGCCCACCATAGGTTCCATTTCGATGATTTGAATCGTTCACTGTGTAGATCTCGTCGAGTACTTCTTTCTTCCAAAAAATCAAGTTATCGGATATCAATAGTCCCTTGATCAGATCATTTTTTTTTGTTAATGGTAAATAAGATTTTAAAAATAAATTGTTCATAAAAATGTATTTAGATCAAGGAACTATCGATATCCGATCAACATGATTTAAATCGTTCGATGATCAAAACCATTCAATGTGTGGATCTCGTTGAGTACTTCTTCCATCTAAAAAATCAGGTTCATCAGATATCGATAGCCCAATGATCAGATCATATTTTTGCTAATGGTAAATAAGATTTTAAAAATAAATTGTTCATAAAAATGTATTCAGATCAAGCGACTATTGATATCCGGTCAACATAATTTTTTGTAAGACCGATGTACTAATTGTTTTTAACAAATCCCTACCTTTGATTCTTATTACAATTTTTGATTGATTTAAATAGTTGACTCTAAAATTTTATGTGGCATCAATTCAATACAATTAAATTTCTTTCAACCTTTTGGTTGCCTTAGAAAAATAAAAAGAAAATGGATATATTTTTTTTTTTTTTGGAGGGGTGGTTTGGTTATCCATAAATATTGAAGAAGTATAAGTAATTATTTTTCTTTATTTTAACAAATTCAAGATTCAAAAATATTATTAAAAAAGAATTACTAAAATTTGAGCACAAGGAGTTTATATTTACATCATTTGCCTATCCAAAAGTGCAACCTACATGTTTGCCTACCCATTTGAATAGCAGCTTTATTTTAATTTATGTATGTTGATACTACACAACCCTCTTGGTAGCTAGGTACAATTCATAAATTATTTATTGTTTTGCAGGCAAAATTCCACAAGAACTAGGTAGTCTACATAGTTTGGAGATGTTAGGTATGGAATCTACCAACATCACTGGTCTCATACCATCTTTTATATTTAACATCTCTTCATTGAAAGGGCTTGGTCTACACACCAATAATTTATTTGGTAGTCTGCCAAGGGATATGTGCTCGCATCATTCCTCGCTCCAAATGATATATCTTGGGAACAATAAATTGACGGGAAACATTCCAAGGGCAATCCGTAACTGTACCTTGCTCTCAATATTTTATATTGAAGGAAATAACTTAACAGGTAACCGATCCACCTCTCAAACTTTAGTTGTTGATGCCACCTCCAAGGACGTAGCTTGGGAGGCTTGAGGTTGTAGACTTTTTTTTTTTTTTTTTTTTTTTACTTGTATTTGGAATCATAAATTTGGATAAAAATTTTAAAAAATAAAAAAAATATATTTAATTTATATTTTATTCATGTTGTCTTCATCTTTTTATTTTTTTATTTTCAAATTCTTGTCTCAATTCATAATTCATACACAATTCTGACATACTCAAAAAGTTTTCTAATTTCTTCAAATTATAAGAATTAAGTTTAGGAGTGTAACTTAGGCGGGCTCAATCCAAACAATCTGAGCTCAACTTGAATTTTTTTAGGACTTAAACAAAATATTTTTGAATTCGGTACAGGTTTGGATAAAAATTCAGAAGTTCGAATTAAATTTGGACGAGTTTGGACAAAGAGATCAAACAACTCGACCAATTTGAAACCTGAATTATATATATAAATATATAAAAATTATTATTCGCTGGATGATATTAACGTAATTTAGATCGTTAAATCATATTGAATATATATTATACACACAAGTAACACAACACAAAAATAAATATTTATTACTCATAAATTGTAAAGACCACTATAGCAGCATCTTTCTTACATTATATAAATTATTTGTTTTGATATTATTAATGATTTTATAAAACAAATGCAATTACAGTCTAATTTTAACAAATTTAAATAACTTAGCTGCACAAAAAAAAAAAAAAAAAAAAAAAAAAAAAAAAAAAAAAAAAAAAAAAAAAAAAAAAAAAAGAAGAAGAAGAAGAAGAAGAAGAAGAAGAAAGAAACTAACATTTATGTGCAATTTGGACAATTCGGGTTTAATTTGGGTTGGATTTGGGAAGACAATCTTAGGTTACAATCCAGACTTGGAGAGCTCTCAACACAACTTGAGCTTGGGCTTGAATAACCTCTCACTCCACCCGAACAAGTTGGGTTGTTATAGCAATACAACATATAATTTCCAAGCTATATCTATGCCTTGCAAACTGTAACGCCCCAAAATAAATACAATATACTCATCTCATAACAACCAATAAATAACAACATAAATAAATTGATAAGTTTTCATAAATTAGAGTTTGATATACAAAAGGTGACACATGCAATATATATTCATAAATAGTACATCCTGAATCTATAACATGTGTTACAAGATAGTGAAAAGAAATGAAAACTAAACAAATAATCATATGCCCTAAAGACTTACATCTTTCCAAGACAATGCTTGAGTACATCAAAAGTGATTCTTAAGCTCAATATAGATAAAGCACCAGGCTTATACAAAATTAAACACAAAGGTGTCGTTTGGTAACTCCAGCTCCATTGTCCTCCCAAGTTAAGTCCTTGGTGGAGGCATATCACCAGCACCTCAAAATGTTTTTTCCCACATAGGGTAATCCAAAGCCTAGTAGAAACACTACAACACAATGTATAAATCTTAACAAAGTCATAAGGTTTTACAAAAAATAAACAAAAAGCAGTTTATAAAATTTTTGTAAATATAAACTGAAAACGTAAATGTTACCAAACACACCCAAAGTAACAACACTGAGTCTCCAGCTCCATTGTCCTCCCAAGTTAAGTCCTTGGTGGAGGCATATCACCAGCACCTCAAAATGTTTTTTCCCACATAGGGTAATCCAAAGCCTAGTAGAAACACTACAACACAATGTATAAATCTTAACAAAGTCATAAGGTTTTATGCATATGTAATGCCAGTACCAAAACATTTATAACCTTTTTCAAAAGCCATGCTATACTAGGTTTATATCACAATTCTCAAAACCATGCACTTTACAATAGAAAGAAGGGGAAATCTCAAACCAGTACAACTTTTCATGGATATTTCGTTCAAACGGGACCCATGTAAATGTAGCCTATACAAGTGCTATTATTGTCATTTTATGAATATTTTGGACGTGGGAACCGACACCCGTGTGTACGCGTATTTTTTTAGAACTTTCACCCTGAACACACAGGCCAATTTAATTTGGTGATACACACCTGTTTCCAACGTTCGCCCATTTTTCTCAAAATCATATACATTTTCAATGAATTAAATAAGCAACGATGTTCAATGCCCATGGATGAGAAATTAGTTTTCGTTCACCTAATTCTCATGCAATTTCTACAACACTCATAGCTATCCTCCACCGATAGCCAAAAACAGATATCTCTAAACAGATAAATAAATTTCATTAAAGATACATTTTTCCAAAATCTCAAGATGAGAGTGATAATACATATCTAACTCCACCATCATCATTAACATTACTTCAATTTCATAATTCTGAACATTAATTCTATTTTCTCTTTACAATCTCAAACATTCACATTTTAGGGCAAAACCCCATTCTCTTTGAAAATCAATTTCAATGTAGGAAATATCTCATATCAACATATATCAACTCCAATTTCATACCCACAAGCTTTTCCAAAAAACCATTTGAAAACCCCTCTTTTTTTTTTTTTTTTTTTTTTTCAAATCCTAGGTTTTACCAAAAACCCTCAAACCATTATAACCTTTTGAAATAGAAAATAACTAAGGTAAAACTCATACAAGAGTGTGAAGAATCCCTACCTCAAACTTAGAAGAGAAAGAAGGAAGAAAAGCCCAAAAGTTGATGGTGACGAAACAACGATTTGCCTCAATCAAAACAAAGCTCTCGACAAGCTCTACACTTAATCTGAAAGGAGCAAGGCAAGGAGATGTTTCTAAGTGAGTAGATCTGAAGATCTTTGACCGAAAAAGTGAGTTTAGAGAGAAAGAGAAGAGTGGCTCATGGTTTAGAGAGGGGAAAGAGAAGATAAAGTGAGGAAAATGGTAAGTGAGGGCCCTATTTATAGTGCTAGGTTAAAGTGAAATAAAGTCCCAAAGTCAACCCAAAAGAACAAGTCAAAATCCCCAAGAAGTACGGCCCAAATCGAACTAAAATCCTGAAAAAAACTCACAGGGGTCGACCTTTATGTTGGTGGTGTCGACCCTTCAGGAAGAATTGACAAAAAAAAATGACAATGCTGGTAGTAGGCAAGGTGTCGACCGTTGGACCAGACGTGTCGACACTAAATTTCAGCAACTAAAAGTAGAATCTACAGTAGACAAAGGTTGACCCTTTCCAGATTGGTGTTGACCTTTGAGGCCAACAACAAACGACAAGTGTCGACACCACCAAGGCTGGTGTCAACCTTAAATTTTAGTAGCTATTCTAAGAACATAGCAGTAAAATGGTGTTGACACCTCCAAAGCTGGTGTTGACCCTAGGAGCAGAACAAGGCAAAGAAAATGAGGCAGTGTCGACACCATCAAAGATAGTGTCGACCCCTGAAGCTAAAACCAAACATAAAGAGAAAGGAACGACCATCATGAATATGGTTTCCCGAATTCAAAAGTAATAAATGGGTCGGGTCTAAACCAGAATCGTTATAATCTCCCTGTTTAAGAATTTCATTCCTGAAATTAAAACCAAGTTTAAACCAATTACAACAATGGCAATCAACTAATCTCATTACCATGACCCATCCACCCGTCGTTCATTCATATCAACATGATAAATAAGTTCTCAATACTGAATATGCAATTCACATTTTGAAAACATATACAATGTTTACATTATATTAACACAACAAAACACTCAAAACATGCCCAAGTACCAACAAATAGGTTCCGATACTTCTCACGGACTTCCAACTCACGTTCCCAAGTTGCTTCCTCAACCCCGTGATGTTTCTATAGCACTTTCACTAAAGGAATTGTCTTTCTTGGTCAAACGCGGATCACTATCAGAAACAATCATTACAGGGACGTCGTGCAACCTCACTATTTCCCTAACGTAAGGGTCGGCTAGATAATCTACCGCGTCACTCCCACACATAGGTACAAAGTGCACTGACTTGGTCAATCGATCAACTACCACCCAAATGGTGTCATTACTTCGTTGAGTCCTTGGAAGACCCACAACAAAATTCATTGTGACATGCTCCTACTTCTACTCAGCTATAGGCAAGGGTTACAACAAACCTGCTGGCCTCTGATACTCGGCCTTCACTTGTTGACAAGTAAGGCACATCGATACAAACACGGCTACGTCCTTCTTCATACCTCTCCACCAAAATTGGCGACTAAGGTCATGATACATCTTTGTGCCTCCCGGGTGCATAGCAAGGCGTGAGTGGTGAAACTCTCGGAGTACTTCCTCTCAGCAAGACTCCGGTACGAAAAGACGGTCAAGGTATCTAACACTCGAGTCAGAATATATGTTCAAGCCTTTCTCTACCTTCCTACTAGAGATCTTCTCCAGTGGGTTTCTACCTCGAGGTCACCCCTGTGTGCTTCTACAACTCAATTTATAAGTGTAGGTTAAGCAACCATGGTAAACAAAGATACTGACTCAACAGACTCGCCAAGATGCAAGTCTTATTCGCCAATAGTGTCTAACATCTCCCATTCCCGAATGGCAATACTAACTACACTCCCAATGGATTTCCTACTCAAGGCATCGGCCACAACATTGGCTTTCCCCGGATGACAATGCAACTCAAAGTCATAATCTTTTATAAACTTCATCCATTTGATAACCATATTCTGTGTTATGTTAATTACCCTTGATTATGATTGTGATTAAGTGCTTATGTGATTTTTGGTGATCATTATGTGATTAATTATGCTTTAGAAACTATATCTGTTTATCGTAAGAAAATTTGTCCAACTTACTACTATAATTTGAAAATTGAAGACCGTAAAAGCTACAAAAATTGAAATTGATTGTGTTATTGTGATAAGTGTGATTTTTAAAGCTTATGGTAAAATTTAATAAAAAATTGATTCAGACTAAATTGATTAATTTAAGCTAAATTAATTAGCCTTAATCAAAATTGATTAGACAAGCATATATAAGTGACCTATTTACACTTATGCTCAATCTTTTGAGCTCATTTCTCCTTACTTGGCTGAGATTACACTCTAGAGAGAGAGAGAGAGAGAGAGGGACGGCTTTAGAGAGAGAGTGAAGGGAAAAATTGTGGAATGAGCAAGATGCTTGAAATTTGAGAAGATTAACTCAAGAAATAGCTAGAATTTGGAAGATTGGAGCTCCTAGGTAAATAATTGAACTCAAACTCATGGGTTTAAGTTTATAATTAAGTGAATTCAAACAAGATATGTAATTAAGAACAAGAATTGAGTTGATGATAATGAATTTGAAGTTAATATGTACATGCATGTGGGAATAAGCCATAAATATGCATATTTGAATGTGAAGCAAGTTGATCATGTTGAATTGAGGGTCGTTTGGCACATGCATGTAAGAATTTTTATGTATTGAAGCTTAATTTCAAGCTTAGGAGCTTGTCCATGCAAGATACAAAACATGAATTGTGTATATATAAAGTTTATGGTTTGAAATTTGTTGAATCCATGGAATTT